TGCTTCTTTATTGGTGGCAAATTTTGATGAGAAAAATCGGTTAAAAATGCGGGAATCGGGTGTGTTACTCTTGTGTTACTATCTACTCTTGATAGCATGAATTTGTTGCTATTATTTCTGCTTTCGTTTTCTTTCTTGTCGCGCGTGTTTGTATCCGCTGTCGTAGATGAAATATATAAACAGATATAATAAATTATACATTATTGCATAAATATATATATATATTCTATATATTCTGAAACAATGACATGTCATTAATGCCACGATTGCTTCATCTATATCCGAGATGAGATCCAGGGAAGGCACACCAGACGCTAACATCGCTGCATGTCAGATCGCCAGTTACGCTCGCATGTAGGTTGCGCTGTCTGATGCAAAATCAATCGCGAATTCTAGTTGTTCGTGGAACAATTTTCCTACGGTCTATAATTCCGATTCCGTTTGCTACGCGATGAATGGTCATGATGTAATAATCCTTCAGATCTCGACCCTACTACAGTAGCTTGCAGGTGCTAGCCGTGCGGTGAGCGCAGGCAAATCTGATAATCGAAGAAAACTTGACGTGATGCGGCCATGATGCCGAGGAGCGCCGAGAATTGACACTTTGTGTCTTCCAATCACAGCCTATGCCGCACATCTCTTTGATATTTTTATAGAAGGGGACCCATTGGACCACCAAATTGCCGATCTCAGAAACTAGGGCATTCTGCTATGTTAGAACGGTTTCCTACGATAGAGTTTGCCACAAATACGAAAATAACACGCTGTTTAGCGCACTGCGCTACGTACTTCTGTTGCATTTTCGCATCTCCGTAATCAGAATAAGCCCCGTCTTCTTTGTTGATGGACATGAATGGGGCGTCACCGACGTGACCACTTAGTGTACCTACTGTCTTTTGCCAGCCTGTTTACTTTTCGTAAATAATGAAATGCCCGGCCGATGCATTTCGCATCAAAGTGGAAAATTTGCGGCATTTTCACTCGCTGTCGGAAGTGAACGAGTGCGTCATTCATTGACCATTGAAGTTGTTCTAAAAATTAAATAATTCCGAAAATCCCTAACCGCGCTACTCGATTGTTTTAGCCAATGAACGTAGCTGTGTGTGTGACGTCTTGCCCGCGCGCTTTATGCTTGGCTTAGCGGGCCCCGACATGGATATCGGAGGCAGGCACCTCGCAACACGCGTGTTTGTTTACATATCGCTTTGTGACGTACGGTGTTCGGGAGTTCTGCGATGATAACCTCGTAATTTCTCAGCATTTCTTAAGGTGCATGGAACATTTTACCAATTTAGTGGTGGCAGTTAGTCACGAATATGTCACAGTAAGTACTAACCGTATATGTTTCACATACGTTCACCCATTTTGCACACAGGCGGTCGATCATTGTGAAAAATTGTGTGAATAGTTATTATTATTGAGACGTTCCAAGTGCCTGTGCTTTCAATTCTGTACGTCAATGCACGTGCGTAAAGAGTCACAAACTCAACACAATTTCATCTCTGTTATTGTTTACACCTGAATGCGTGATTGATCAGGGAGAGGGGGGGGGGGAATGTAAGAGGGAGACATTTTCTTTGGTGTTCCGAAAAACACAATTCCACTTGACAATTTCATGGGCCATTTCAATTGGAAGCTCTGCATAATGGACCCCCAACAAGCCCTTCGACTGACTAGTCAAGAAATTCAAAGGTCTGTATATTGCTCTTATTTAGCCGCCGATAGTTCATATTTAGAACAAAGTCTTCATTGTTATCTTCTAAAACTACAGACCATCCGCTGGCCGCTGTGGACACCCGGTTCACAGCAATTCACACGCACAATGCGCGCGATCTGTGCGCAGTTCACGCGCAATATGCGTGTGACAATAGATCTTTTATTATTATGTGTTACGTTTCTATCGATGATACCGCGTGAATTGTAATTCGAGAGAAAAGTCATTATCGCATATCCCAGCATGCCGTACTGAGACGTCATTTCCGACCTGCAACCGCGGGAAAGTGTGTTTGTTACAATAACAAAATGCCAAAAGTAATAAAATATACGAAATTCAAAGTGAGAGTTATTACTGGTGCAGCTGGTGGCAGCAGGAAGTCGCTAACTGTTAAAGTGGACAATAAGCGGTTGGTGAAAAGCCTTTTCAGTGAGCATGAAACCCGTGATGATGATAATTTTGATATGCCTAGTGAGTGTCAGTGTTTCTGGTGCTGCTGGCACTGCAAGGTGTAGCGGTAGTCTAGGCTATACTATACTAGCTATAGGCTATAAGGCCTACTACTAGTACTACTACTAGTACTACTAGCAGTATGAGTACTACTACTAGTACTACTATTAGTACTAGTAGTGGTACGGAAATAGACATCACCATTACTGCGGATAGTGTTGCTGGTAATCTACAGCCTACATATACACGTATGTATAATAATTAATATATTATTATAATAATTAATGAATATTATTACTATTAGTTTTGTGACTATTACTAATTCTAGTAATAGTATTAGGTTAAGCTTAAGCCGACATATTATTATTAATAATAATAATGCTGGTGGATTCACATAATGAGAATGACGCTCCCTCTGCTTACCATACTCGATCGTCAGTAGTAATCACTTAATTAGGCTGATAGAGTCTATGTCCTCTAGGGTACTGCTGGAACGTACCCTGGGTAGGGTCCGGTGTACCGGAACGTACCCTGGGTACGGTCCGGTATACCGGAACGTACCCTGGTACTAAATACTACTATCTTAAATGCCTGGCCGTACCTCGCCTACTCCACTAACGCGTCCAGGGAGTCGCCTACGCCTACTCCCTAGCCCTAACCCTAACCCTAACTCTAACCCTAACCCTAACCCTAACCCTAACCATATCAGCTAGATAGTTACCAGGGTACGTTCCGGCAGTACCCTGGGGGACATAGACCCTATTAGGCTTAATTAGCTACTCTCTGCCCAAACTTCGTTCCTTCCGAACTCATTTGTTTATATTCATCATTTATATTCAACCTATTACTCCTCACAGTTCATTCTGGCTACCAGGCAGCTAGACAGCGAAGGATAGGAGCTTGGGCTAACCTCCGCCCATCTCTGTTGTCAGCGTACAAGAAGGTGACTCGTGGGAAGCAATGCATCATTTGTGGGGCTGAAGATCCTCCAATAAGATGCACAGATTGCAGCCATGCGAGCAACTACTGTACTGGTTGCTTTGAAACGGCCCACTTGCATCTAAAGCTGCATGTTGCTTATTACTGGAAGGTATAAATATTACGATAGTGAAATCTACCTTAAAACAAATGCATGACGTGTTCATTATGCTCTAAAATTATCATATATGTTGAAGTGGTACCGTTGATGTACAGATACTAGAGTTAGCACATATTTTGCCCAGTACTTGAGTAGTGTAATATGTATATAAAGAAACAGCAAAACATTCAGATTACTATAAACAGTGATGACTGGATGAATGTCATATGCTATATGTCTTATTACATATGTAATGCTTTGATCTTATATTTTATTTATTTTTAGAATGGAATGTTCACCCGATATGACACCAACAGGGTGGAAGTGTGGAATTGTGATGTGGACCACACCTGCACATCAGGCTACCCCAAGGTTGTAAAATATGATGTAGGGAACTTATTAACTACCAAAGATGTTAGTTTATGTTATGAATGACCATTTTTGTTTTCGACCAGCTCAGCATATTCTGTAATTTTTATTGATTTATATGTGTAGCCAGACATACACTACATATATAAAAAGTCATGTAAAGCCCATTGCAGAAATTTTTCAAGAAATTATATAGGCAATCACACGAATATGCAACACAAATCAACACTATATAATTGTAATGCACACGTCTGTTTACTACACTACAATTACATGTGTCGAAAATAAAGATATACCAGATTATTATCATCTCTTTTTAACATAGAATATAACCAAATGTATTTTTAGGAAGACAACACAGTTTTCAATTAACTGTGTGCAGCTGCAACTCTGCAGCGGTCACAATGCTACGGTATGGCTTGTGGCCATAAACACCAACGAACCCCCAGGTGGCAATCACCATAGAGCTGATGGAATTTCTTAGGCTGCTGGTACTTGAGTGCCAGGTATCTGTAAAGGGTTTTTGTGAGGTACTGGTGCTCTATGGCGCTGAAGACCCACTGGCAAACAACGTTGGTTACAACTGTAAATATAGTAATATATTTTTGCAGACCTTAAGAAATGTCACTATCTATAAAATCTGTTATAAGCTTTATACAAGCTGTAGCGAAATGACTACATTAACTTCTTTGTTTCTTTTATATCTAAATGGTTTATTTGTTTTTTCTTCATATCAAGCTCCAGCGGATCACACACGTTCTTCTTTATTCTCTTATTTTCTGCCTATGTCGTCTTATGTAACGTAACGAACGAACGTATCTTAACGAACGAACGCATCTTAACGAACGAACGTATCTTAACGAACGAACGTATCTTAACGAACGAACGTATCTTAACAAACGAACGTATCTTAACGAACGTATCTTCACGAACGGTTAATCTGAAACAAATTCAAAGAGCACATTTACTATTTAGCGTGTGTGCTATGCTGTGTGTAGCTCGCTATGGACAACAAACTTTCTGGTAAATACAATTCAAAGCCGAATCTGCTACTATTAATACAGAAAGACATTAATAATTATTTTTAAACACAAATCCCTTACCACACTGGGTTCTTTAGGGTTTTAGAAGCACATTAAAATTCGCGTCTTCACCGTAAATGGCGAAAAAGAGAGCGCGCGTCACCTCCCTTAGCAACTAACCGGTATCAATGCGCTGCTGCATAAAGTAGTGCACCGCGTAACCGCGTAGCGGCAGGAGTTGTCACCAACATCCCGGCCTCGATGAGGCTATCAGCACTCATTTCCTAACTAAATGGTGACAACAGCAACTCTTTTATACAGTCCATGAGCACAGCTAAGGTCATCCTCTTAGACTATGTCGCTTAAATCACACTAGCTCCGCTTCAAGTAGGCCCAGCTTGTGCACAGGTCTCGTGTAAAGTCCATTCTGTGTCTTGATTTGCGCATACCTGACCAATCCATCACCGGATGGGTAAGTCTGGGTGATCAGCCCCAGAGGCCACTGGTAACGTGGAGTAGTCTCATTCACGAGAAGCACCAAGTCTCCCTTCTGGAAGTTCCTCTCGCGCTTCAGCCGCTTCTGCCTCTCCTGTAGGGTGGGCAGATACTCCTTAATCCACCTGGTCCAAAATACGTCCGCTAAGTACTGGACTTGGCGCCATCTCTGTCTATAAGTGTCCTGCTGGACAAACTTTCCGGGTGGTAAGTCTGGCCCCGATCTCAGCAGCAGCAGGTGGTTCGGTGTTAATGGTGCTGGGTCGTTAGGGTCGTCTGAGAACTTCGTTAGTGGTCTACCATTGACAATATCTTCAACTATACAGAATAATGTTGATAGTCTCTCGTCGTCGATGGTTTGCTGGCTGACGATGCCTGAGAGAACAGCTCGGACGGTTCGGATTTGCCTTTCCCATACTCCACCCATATGGGAAGCTGCTGGTGGGTTGAATATCCACTGTACGTCTTGTTGTAGTAGGTAGTCGGCTATCTTCTGCTGATTCCACTCCTTTATGGCTTCATGTAATTCCCGCTTAGCCCCTACGAAGTTGCTTCCATTATCGGATCTGATGGTCTTTGGGTTCCCTCGTCGTGCAATAAATCGTTGTAGTGCGTTGATGAACGAATCGGTGTCAAGGCTGCAAGCAACCTCAAGGTGCACTGATCGAGTGGCTAGGCACGTGAATAGGCACCCATATCTCTTCACCTCGGTTTTCCTAGCTCTTTTCACCTTGAGTGGGCCGAAATAGTCAACAACTACTTCGGTGAATGGTGGCTGACTTGGGGTAACTCTATCTCTGGGTAGGTCTGCCATGTATTGCACACTAGGTAGTTGCTTCCTCTTCTTGCAGGGAATGCAGTTTCTAACGGCTCGTTTCACCGACACTCGGTCCTTTATGCTCCAGTAGTTTTGTCTAATTTCCGCGAAGACTCTCTCGGCACCAGCATAACCAGTTATCTTGTGGAAATGTTCGATGATCAGCTTAGTCACGTGATGATCTGGAGGCAGAATGGCAGGATGTTTGGCTGAGTCGTGATCAGGAAGTGGTGCATTCGACAGTCGGCCACCGACTCTTAACATTCCATCCGCTGACATCACGGGAGAGAGCTTCTCTAGTTGTTGTAGCTTCGTAGGGTCAGCGTGCCAGCTTCTCTGCATGTAGACTATAATAGCTTGTTCAGCTCTCTGGATTTCTTTCACTGTGACTGGTTCAGTACGTTTGACATCTGACTTCTTCCTCAGAATGTCTTTCACACGAAGGATAATAGCTACAGCTCGCTTTAGTTCATGCCACGACGAAAACCTTTTAAACCGTTTGTCGACCGTCGTCTTGGTCGCTTTAGCTTCTGTAGCTGTAGTTGAGTAAATCTCCCTAACCTTCTTGATCTCTGCAGCGGTAGGTATGTCTCCTAAGTCAGGTTGGGCTGACCATAGCTCCTCCTTGCTCCATAGGAAGGTAGGACCTTGCGTCCAGCGTTCATCAGTTATCATCTCGTCAGCTGACATACCCCTAGAGATATCATCCGCAGGATTGCTGTTAGTATCAACGTGTCTCCATCTGCTCGACGAAGAACCTTCATGTATCTGTGCCACTCTGTTCGCTACGAACGTCTGGAATCTCTTTTTCTCGCTTCGCAAGTAGTGCAGAACTATAGTACTATCTGTCCAAAACACAGATTCTGACAGAGGGTACTCGAGGTGCTTCCTACAAGCCTGGTCGAGCTTTACAGCAACTACGGCCGCTGACAACTCTAGCCTTTGAATGGTTGTTGGCTTTATCGGTGCTAGCCTGCTCTTTGCCATCACTAAGCAGCAATGAATCCTGTCAGATGCATCCACCATGCGTAAGTACGTAACTGCACCAAATCCTTTCTCTGACGCATCGCTGAAGTGGTGTAGCTGAAATGCGGCTGGCGCCTGTAATCTGTCGCTTGGCTTCAGACATCTTGGAACTTTAAAGTCTGCTATCTTAGGGAGATCTTGAAGCCATCTTATCCATTGATCCGCGACATACTTGGGTATCGCTTTATCCCAGTCTAGCTTCTGTCTGCACAGTTCTTGGAACAATATCTTCGCTCGCATGATGAAAGGTCCAACGAATCCTAACGGGTCATACACTGTACTTGTAAAGCTCAACATTTCTCTCTTGGTGCTCGGAACATCCTTCACGGATACGTCGTAACCGAACTGGTCGGTCTCTACTCTCCACAGCACACCGAGGGCTCTCTCTTAACCCACTCCGTCTGTGGTAGTGACATCATAACTCTGCGTGAGTTACTGATAAACTTGGTGAGTCCGAATCCTCGCAGTGAGAGAAGCTCACACAGCTGCTTTATCAGTCTCATCGCCTCTTCTTTCGAGACAACGGACTTTAAGCAGTCATCGACGTAAAAATTCTTGTCCACAGTCTGCACAGTTTTTACGTCAAAGTCATTCTGTAGGTCTTGGATTGTTTGGTGATGTCGCCGCCCTCCCACTAAAGGAAACGTAGACAGTCCCGGTCCTCGGGGTGCACCTTCACCTGCATAAACATTCCCTCGATATCTGACATAAATGCTATAGGTTCCCTGTCTAAATCTGAGCATCACGGCGATCAGTTTGTTCATAAGATCAGGTCCCTGACGGATCAGAACGTTGAGCAAAACTCCCTGGTAAGGGGCAGAACAGTCGTACACAACTCTGACTTTCCCTGGCTTCCGTGGATGGATCACAGGGTGATGAGGCAGGTACCAGATAGCTTCCTTACGATGGTCCAAGGCCAGCTGCTCGCGAGGCACCTCTTCGGCATGCCCTTTCTCTACAGAATCCTGGATCCCTTGAACATACTTCTCCCGCAGTTCAGAGTCCTTGGACAGTCTCTTTCCAAGCAAATCAAGCCTGTGCTTAGCCATGCTGTAGTTGTTTAGCATCTGAGGCGGTCTCTGCTTAAATGGGATCCACAGTGAGTAATGTGGACCCTCACGTCGGATTGAGCTTTCCCACTGAGATATAACTTTACTGTCACTCACAGACAAATCAGTCTCTTCTTTGTACAACGGGTCATCTAACTTCCAGAATCTCTCCACCTGTTTCTCCAGGGACAATGTTGAGTTGGCAAAGTAAGTGCTAGCTTTCTTGGGTTTAAATTTCTTGGTAGGGCCGAACATAGCCCATCCTAGTGGAGTTCTTGTTGCAATTGGCTCCCCTTCCTTACCAGAACGAGTCTCTACGTCGATAAGAAGGTGTGCATGATCGGAGCCGATTATTAAATCCACTTGGTAAACGTCCACATTCACCAGGGTGACGTCTCTCAGATGTAGCATATGTCTGATATCTGATGAAGTCACACCGTTGTCTAAGCTCACATTCAGTTTCTCACGGGAGATTACGTCGGTGAGTCTGAACGTCTTGCCGCTGTTTAAAGTTCCCACATCAAGATCTACAACCGTCACTTCTTCCTCGACATGGTCTCCAGGGAGAGTGGTTAGCTCCATAATTCCAGGACGGCCAAGAACATTTAGCTTGGTTCTCAATCTATCGGTGCACACCGTTGAATTGGAGCACCTATCAAAGAGCGCTTATGTCTCTGTCTGTCCCCTGCGTCCAGGGTCCTGAATGGCGACAGGGATAATGGGCATGCCAATTGTGCCCTGTCCTGCACCAGCGAAGGCACACCTGACGTCCATGTTAGGTTGGGACTTGATTGTTCATACTGGCTGGTTGTTAGCTGGGAACGTGCTACCTCTTGTAGTCACGGGTTCAGTAGCAAGGGTATCTGTAGCTGTCTGGTGGTTAGGCAGGTGCAGCCACCTGTTGTGTCTTTGACCACATCCAGGAACATTACACGTCCACTTTGTCTGACAGTCTCTGCTGAAATGCCCTGCTTGAAAACAATTCACACACAGCTTCTTCATCAGGACAAAGCTGTGTCTGTCTTTAACGACAAGCTCTCTAAATCGGTCGCATTGGATGAGGTAATGGGTATCCTCACACATAGGGCACTTGGGTACATACTTGGAAATACTTCCTCCTATGATGGACCTCTCATGTGTTCTCTCTATAGGTTTAGCCTTGGCGTCAGACGAGAAAGCAGCATTCCTTCTCCTCTGTTGTTTGAAATCAAAGCATTTATCTCTAGGCTGCCCCAGAGTGGATTTCTGAAGATTGCCGAACACATGGTCGCTCTCTTCATCCACTACTCTGTCTACAAATGATATTATATCAGCCAGGTTCGGTATGCGTTTCCTACTTTTAATATCAAAGTTTCTTCTCCTCCATCCGTTTCTGACATGCTCAGGTAATTTCTCAACGACTGCATGGAGGCTGGACCTGGTCTCTAGCTCGTTAAGATAGTTCATTGATGACAAGGTCTCAATGTACGGAGGTCATCAGCAAACACTCTCATGTCTCCCATGTCTCTCAGTTGAGGTATCTGCAACACCTTATCCAGCCACGCTTGAGCAATCACAGCTTCATTACCATACCTCTCATTCAACAACCTACGGGCTAGCTGGTACCCTTCACAAGGCTCCTTAACGAGGCAACATTTCAACAGGTCTCTTGGCGGGCCAACGCAGTGTTGAATCAAACCGTTTAGTTTTCTGGCGCTATCTAGAGTCTTTCCTTCCATTGCATTATCGAACGACCTCACGAAGGGGTAGTACTTCAGAGGGTCTCCGTTGAATTTTAGAATTTCTATCTTGGGAGCCGTAACGCTGTCAATGACCAACTGATTCTGACTCCGGGTCTCCTCCATTAGAAATTTTAGTGCGCTCACGAATGTCTGAGTGGCATCCTGCGCAGGAGTGTCCGACGCGGAATCCGTTGACATGTAAAACGTCTCTGTACTAGCCTTCGCCTTTGGAGTATAAAAATTCTCATCAGCATAGGCAGGCTGGAGGGGAGTAGACTGCACTGTCGGCTTTCCTACTGTTTTAAACTTAGACCCGACCTCCTGTTCGAACTTCTGCGTCTCCATCTCCAATTTCATCATTCTCAGCTTATTTTGATACTGTTCACGTCGCATCATTAGTTCCTGTTCCCCGTGAAGCGCCGCTAGCTCATTCTCCTGCCTTTGTTTGTGCAGCAAAAGCTCGTATGTTCTTTGCTGCTTAAACTTATCCTTCTCTAGGTTTGCGATTTGCCTCTCCAGTACCTTTACCGAGTCATGCTCATACTCCTCATCGTCGTCCTCATTACTATCGGGTGTAGTCGGAGCATTATCTTGGCCAAGCATTGGTTCAGGTTTAAGCAAGGTAGTTTCTGGTTCATCAACGTCCTTTGCCTCCTCATACAATACATCAGCAATCCAATGTGTGACAGTATCTACAAAACTGTTGGCATCGGCCAGGAACTTCTCTCGATATTTATTAGATTCGGCAATATCAGCTTGATCGGTTAGCCCCTGGTGGTAGGATGCGTGAGCAGCCATAAAGGTTTGCACGGACACTTCAAAGTCAACCTGAAGGTCTTGCACATGAGGCACGTTGTCATTGTTCTGCATTAGAGTGGTTCCCTGATTTATAAGTCTTGTAGCAGCACCCTTAGCCTTTTCTCGTTTCTTCTTGAGGTCAGCTGTCTCAGCTTCAGCAGCTGCAGCCTGATCCTCGTCACACGGCATCTCTGGTCGTTGTTGTTGTTGTTGTTGTTGTTGTTGTTGTTGTTATCTTCACGATATCACAAAGTCCAGTTCGTGATTAACTTTAATGTAGCGAAATGACTTCATTAACTTATTTGTTTATTTTATATCCAACGGATCACACACGTTCTTCTTTATTCTCTTATTTTCTGCCTATGTCGACTTATGTAACGTAACGAACGAACGTATCTTAACGAACAAACGCATCTTAACGAACGAACGTATCTTAACGAACCAGCGTATCTTAACAAGCGAACGTATCTTAACGAACGTATCTTCACGAACGGTTAATCTGAAACAAATTCAAAGAGCACATTTACTATTTACCGTGTGTGCTATGCTGTATGTGTAACTCGCTATGTACAACAAACTTTCTGGTAAATACAATTCAAATACACGTACGGCAATCACAGCCGAATCTGCTACTATTAATTTAGAAAGACATTAATAATTATTTATAAACACAAATCCCTTACCACGCTGGGTTCTTTAGGGTTTTAGAAGCACATTAAAATGCCCGTCTTCGCCGTAAGCCACAATGGCGAAAAAGAGCGCGCGCGTCACCTCCCTTAGCAACTAACCGGTATCAATGCGCTGCTGCATAAAGTAGTGCACCGCGTAACCGCGTAGCGGCAGGAGTTGTCACCAACACAAGCATTATCATAATATTTCTTGTGTATTATGTTTCTCCGGTCGATAAATACCCAAACTCACACCTAGCTACATCTGGATACAGATTAGAGACATCTACAGAACCTTGCAAGGTGTTTTGAGGAGTATCGTAACTTGTGGAGAGACTCAGAGAGGCCAGATACCCAACGGCTGCTGGAGGTGATGATGGTACAACACGCCCAGCCTGCCCTAAGGTACAAACACATATACTTGAAAATATCGATGTTGCTACTTGATACTCTACTTGCTACTCTGTGTTATTTGGTCTTTTGTTTTTGGTCATCAATAACAAAAAGAACCTATATATTTTGTGACTTAAATATAGTATCTTTTCACAACTTGACAGGACACAGGTACCCAAGTTTTCTCTATTGATGGCAATTTTGGTCTTGTTCGGAAAAAGGCGGCTGGCATTGACCTGGGGACTGTAATGTCACCTCGATTTTTTCTCCCTCAAGACCAAGTTGACCAGTATGTGAGCAAGGCTTGAGTGAAGACTAAGAAAAGTGATGTGGTATGGGGAAGAATATTGCTTTCATAATATAGCGTAAAATATCCAAGCTCGCATTGTACAGACTTTACAGATGCATGTGGATCTTGTGGATGAATCCAACTCGCATGTTGTGCTTTTGATTTATTAGTTGCACTTTATTTGTTGAAATCTGAATAATGTGACATCTGAGGGCCAATCTGTTGGCAGAAAATGTGTGCTGTAGTAACTCTTGACCACATTTTTACTTGCAGGTTTGCAGTGATTTCAAAGCTGGCAATCCATTAAGAAGCAAATCCCGACATGAGAAACTTGACATAACAGGAGTTTATGGGGCTGTCTGCCGCCATAATATGCCGAAAAGTTTCTTGAACCTCAGGCATGGTGAACGGTGAGTATATGTCAAAACCGGTACATGATGTATGTATGTAGTTGTGCAGAATTAAATGTATGACATAGTGTGAACAATAATAAATCCTTATAACATCATTAAACTTACACATCATCACACTATCTATACTTAATATATTTGTCAACTATATTTTGTAGCATAACTGTGCTTGTTTTTAGCCTTGCCTATCCAGCGTTTTTCTGACAGTGGCTTCTTCAAGGTGTGAAGGTTCCTAGGGTGGTTATACTGTATGACATTGCCTGTGTTCAGGAACAACATGGTCAGGTAATCTTGGTTATATTTCAGGTTATATAGCAGTTGATAATTATGTAGAGAAATGGTATTCATATAAACTACACGTATATATGTACGTATGTACGTATATATATATTGACCAATTCCCTAATTTTGACAAAAAATACATTTTATAGTATTATTGCTATTCAATGTTGTCTTAAATTTTCTGCCTCATTTTAATGGTATTGGCAGTTATTGCCAACTTTCGTAACAAATTATATCACCGACAATATCACAATAAATTATACTGTTTTTTTTTCTAAATGAATGTTGTCATCAGAGTAAGCTCAGAATTAATATTTTGTGTTTCTTTACAAGATAAACAAGATTCTAATTATCTCCCACTTTCATCATGTCTAACAACTGTTTGCTCTTTTAGAATTTGGACCCAATGTCTCAACATTCGGAACGCGTGGTTGAATTCGGGATACCAATATTCCACATGTATGGGCATAAGGTTAGATATCAGGTATGTTGTGTTTTAAAACGTCTTGTCTGCGTTATTATCGAAATCATCCCAGATATCTCTTTCTGAATGTGATAGATATGACGGTAAATGTGCTAATGTACGTGTTGCTATTTAACATTTATGTAACTCTTACACTGAACATGGCGTTAGGGTATTATATCTGGAAGTGTAATCGCAATCGAATCGAATTCTGCAACTAATAACATATTTTTGACCCAAAGATGTAGACGAGTAGTTCTTAACCTTTTTTGAGTCATGGACCCCTTTGAAAGTCTTGTGAAAGCTACGGATCCCTCCCAAGTAAAATGCACATAAGCACATAAACACAACATTGTGCAACATGCGCCCGGTTCGCGAACCCCCAGAAGCCCAACAACGGATCCCAAAGGGGTCCATGGACCACGGGTTAAGAACCCCAGATGTAGACAGATATATAGTTTTTTTCCAGCACATAACAATGCATTTGCTGAAGACTATACCAAGCTCATTGTTAAAACCACATCCTGGGTGTTAGTATAGGCTGATTTTGTTTTCTTG